TTCGTGACGGCGCCAACAAATGCTTGGTAGACAGGAAAATAAGTATAGGCTGAGTTCCGGTTACGACGCTAGCTAAGTACACTGGCGATCGTGCGGAAGTGGTAAGGTTTAAAACAGACCTGAGTACTTGGTAGCACTAGCACAATGTGCTAGTGTGGTTTGTGTAACATTTTCTGCTTATTTGTGCCAGCAATGCAAAACATTCTGTTTAACCCTACCTGATTTAAAAAATATCGGTTCGCTTGAGGAGTACAGAATCCATATCATTCAGTTGGTGTGGTTTTACCCGTTAGTACGGTCTACATGGTGATTAATAAAAACAACACACAGAATCGCGTGCTTGTTTGTACTTCAGACGCGACATCCTGTTATCTTTGCCGATTTACTCCTGCCTTGATTCAAGGTTAGCTATTGCTTCGGACTTCGTCATGCCCAACTCACTCTGTTTACACTGCTCAAAACTGGTTACTCAGGGCATTCAGTGTATCGCTTGTAAATCCTGGGCCTGTGGTCACAAGCGTTGTTCGCAACTTACGGATTCGCTTTTTAAGATCTACGCTGAACACAAAGGCCTGTTATGGGTCTGTCGGTATTGCATTGATGCAGCTGCACTGGCAAGACGGCCGCCGCTTCAGAATCTTGAGAGATGCTCATCCGTTCCTATTGCTAGAAGAGCCAGGAAGTGCGACGCGATATCCCTCGGCGACCATCCAAAGAATACGATCAACCAAGTAGAAGACTTGTGTCGCACCTGTCCCCCGACAACATGAATACGTTGCCCGCAGTTCTTCCATGCAGCGGCATTTTATCAACTGGTAAACCGGAGCAAGTACTACGGACCTCTGATGAGCCACCTCCTACTACAGTCGCCGATCATGGAACCAGAAACGAGTCACCTTGGATTGTTGCGGGAAAGAGACCTCCAGTTTTGGCTCCGAGCGCCGTTACGCGGCCGTCCGTATTGTCCGAAACTGGTCTGATCCATCCTCGTAACCATTGTCTGATGATCTTTCATGCCCTGGAGTCAGAGAGTTCCGACCCGCGAATTCGTTATGAGCATGATGTCGCGTTCTTACAAAATTTGGTTGATAAACTCCTGGACCCCGATGAGCTAGGTATTCATATAACACGAGTATTACGCGTGGGAAAACGAACGGCAAACACGCCTCGTCCGTTGCGAATTGTTTTTGAAAACGACGTCACCCCAGCGCGTCTTCTGTCCCGACTTTGGCGTCTAAACGGCCTGAAAATCCACGTGAGTGCCGACCTCACTTTGGAAGAACGAAATCGCCTTCAAACTGCTACCATTGAACTTAAACGGCGAACTCAACAAGGTGAGAGCAACATACATATCGTAAATTTTCGAGTAGTGCAGAAGCGCCAGCTGGTAAACAAACCGGTGTTGCTGATGGCGCGCGCCCCAAGCTAGTTGCCGGTCTCACTGTGGCGCTTACGAACGTCCGCAGCCTCACCAATAAATTTGATGAGGTACATCTCTGGGTAGAGCAACATTGCCCAGATTTATTTTGTCTGTCTGAAACATGGCTCCACGGTGATATTACTGACCCTGAAATTCATATCGATGGATACACGACATTTCGGTGCGAACGACCCAAGGGCGCTCATGGCGGTGTATTGTTATATATAAAGTCCAGCATGAGAGGCGGACTCATATCTACACATTATAGTGCCGACGGCCTATGCGAACAACTTTGGTGCAGAGTTACGGTGGGGCCAAATGAACTGAGAGTGGGAGCCATTTATCGGAGTCCTTCAAACACTTCCCGTGATTGGCTAGACGTAGTGCAGCAGCGCTTGAACTGCCGAAATTTTCTGTTGCTTGGTGATTTTAACTTTCCACACGTTGATTGGCCGCATTATAAAGCTCTAACTGGCAGTAGCAATCTCGAATGCGCTTTTGTCGATGCAATGGCGGAGATGCACGCTGTGCAACATATCCTGCAACCAACAAGGCAGCTTCCGGGGCAACCTGAAAGCTGTCTTGATCTCCTTTTCACGAACGATGAGCAACATGTCGAATCCGCTAAAGTATTTGAACCCATTGGGTTAAGCCATCACTCCACGATTTCAGCCGTCCTACGTTTGCCATCTGTTGTATCATTACGAATACCCCGTCGTAACATTTGGAAAACAAACTGGGATCGGCTGATGAGTACTGCGGAACACATGGACTGGTCATTACCTTTGAATGACGGTGTTGAAGTGTGTTGGGAGGTGCTGAAGCAAAACCTTGTTCAGTTGCTAGACCAGTTTGCTCCTTTAACTCCAAGAACGTGTTGGAAGAGGCCGCCATGGATGGATAGCGAATATGTTGTCTTGTCGAGGCGACGTGCAAAATTGTGGAAAAGGTTCAAGCAAACTCATAGCGCTGAAGATTACACAGCTTACAAAACACTAAGAAACTGTTGCAATTCAGTGAAATTAAAGAAGCGTGCGGCTTATGAAACACGCTTATCAGCAGATACGAAGGAGGCACCCAAAAAGGTTTTTGCATACATCAAGCGCAAGCTTAAGCCAACTGATGAGTTGCCTGCTTTGGAAAATTCGCTTGGTGCACTGTTGACCGCCGACATAGACCGAGCGATCGCACTTGCTTCACATTTCGAGGCAGTGTTCGACTCAGCTTCTCCAGCATTTCAGCGTACCCAAGTCGACGCGAAACTGCATACAGTATCCTGTTCAGAGGACCAAGTCAGGGGATTGCTTGCTAATCTCGAATGCTCCAAACCGCCAGGACCTGATGGCTTGCATCCACTACTTCTCAAAAGGCTGGCACCTGTTATCGCACCTGCAGTGACGGAATTGTTCGAGGCCTCTTTGACACAAGGGAACGTCCCACGTGAATGGAAGCAAGCGATCGTACGGCCCTTCCCGAAAGGAGGAAACAGAAGAGGAGTAGAGAACTATAGACCGATTTGCCTGACATCAGTGCTGGCCAACTTGCTGGAGAAAGTGGTCAAGAAGGCGCTGCTTGAGTTCGCAGAATCACACGGTGTGCTTACATCAGTTCAACATGATTTCCTAAGAGGACGGTCTTGTACCACGAATCTTCTGACTTCCCGACACAGTTGGATTGAAGCAGTTAATGAGGGCAGGAGCGTTGATGCCTTGCTGATTGACTTTAGCAAAGCAATTGAGAGAGTGAATCACTTTATCTTGCTATCTAAACTCAACAGTTATGGCGTGGGTGGAAAATTGCTGAAATTGATTCAGTCTTTTCTGGACAAGCGGCAGTGGTGCGTCCAGGTCAATGACTACCGAACGAAATGGTGTACTGCCTCTAGTGGTGTGCCACAGGGCACAGTACTTGGCCCAACGCTTTTTCTGTTTCATATCAACGACTTACCAGGACCTCTGACATCTACTTGCGCGCTGTTCGCAGATGATTTGAAAGTTTGGCGGGAAATATCGACCCCGGTCGATGAAGATATACTGCAAAGTGATCTCGATACAATCTCCTCAGGGGCAACAACAAACTGCCTTCCACTGAATGCTGAAAAGTCCGAATTGCTCCGCATTGGCAAGTGCTGTCGGGACAGAACTTACAGTGTCGGTGGACGTCTACTGTGCTCGGCTGCGACGGTTAGAGATCTAGGAGTACTATCCCGATGGGACTTAAAATCGTCAGACAATACGCACGAGGTCTACTGTTCCAGCCTTCGCATGTTTTGGTCATTAAAGCGGACCTTCAACGTTTGGTCGGAGGAAATTGCTGTCAGGCTATACGTCTCCATGGTGCGCCCACTTTTAGAGTACGGGGCACCGGCCTATTATCCAAGTACAAAAGGTGAGATGAGAAAACTGGAAAAAGTCTAGCACCTAGTCACCCGCCTGATCCCCACGCTCCGAGGCTTATCTTACCATCAGAGGTGCCACAAGTTACGTCTCCATACACTAGTATACAGGAGATTACGAATTGACCTCATTACAACGTTCAGAATCCTGCACTTGAGACAATTTCCTCACCTGAGACATATGTTCTGTGTTGTGGATGCACCTATTACCCGAGGGCATTCTTACAAGCTGGAAGTGCCACGTATGGACAATGTCACTCATATTCACTGTTTCGCGCGACGTGTGATACATTTCTGGAACTGGTTGCCCAGTTCCGTTGTTCTTTCTGATTCAGTGCAGTGTTTTAAACGAAGTATTGACAAACATTTTTCAGACTTGTGTTTCGACGCAGACGCCATGTTTGACCTCCTTTCGTCGCGTGGTTATGTCACGGCTACACTAGCAACCCTAAAATACCAAGACACATAGTGCTTCTTTGCGCTTATATATCGGTATTTTGTTTGCTTATTACTAAATGACGATTGATGTGCATTCACACAGACTCATATTCGGCATGGGTCATTTTTGCTTTACTTATGATGGAGATAACATAGATTCCTATCTTATTCTCCTAATAAATTGATTCTGATTCTGATTCTTAGGTTCATTTCGCTGATGATACAAGGCGGTACTGGAAAGCACTGAATAAGCTTTACAAGTTCCACTGTTGGGCACTGACGTATCGCACGTACGGAGCACATTGAATTACATGAAGCACATCTCAGTGGTTAACTTTGAACTTAAGAGGCAGGATCAGACAGTTACTAAATTATTTACTTGCTCCATCATATTGGAAGCTTACTTCCTTCCATCTAATACGACAAAACTAGTTTTTTTAATTGTAATGATACTATATGCATTTGACGTTACTGCTTGTGTATTCTCATCTATAATCATCAGGCTTAGCGCGTTGCCGAAACGCAAACACGTTATTTTAAACAAGCAAGCTGCCACAAATACATTAAATTTGATTTTTAGGAAGCTAAACTTTTTTGACAGGGCGTTTGCTAGTTCTGAGAGCTAATTAAAGCCAAGAATCATTATTGAGTTTCTGGGGTCATTCCTGCAGCTTTGTTTAAGCACTGCGTGGCCTATTCAACTGGAAGCGATTCCCACTGTTCCTTCCGTCACTGTAGCATTAATGAATGAGTATGGCTGATTTTCAGAATTTTAAGGTTCGTACATGTCTTTACGCTATTTTCGGAGTAGTGACTGTCTTGATTGATATGCAGTTGTCTAACCTGACTTGCGATGATCTGCCTGTTTCTGTTTGCTTTCCTTCTAACCTCGTGGGTGACCCTTAGTAAATGAACTAGCGTTCCGTACTACTGTTACTGTCCTCAACACTATTTTCTGCCTTTATTTTCCCCTGGCCTCTGGTCTTCTCTGGATTTTGACCAACGTTATGCCATCCAGTTCGAGGATACTATTCCGGATCTTTCTCCGGAAACTCGAATGAAGTTCCGCAAGTTTCTGCAAGTTACTGGCATTGAGAACATGGTGATCAATGACGGTCGAAGGATTACCGATGCTGACGTACTGAATGAAATTAGGAAGGAAATGGCCATCAGGTCGCGAAATGAGGAACTGTATGTTACGACCTATTCAGATAAGTTATTTCGTAGGCGTACAACATCATTGATTCCCGCATGTATCAGCGGTGACGATGAAACCGTGAAAGCCCTTTTACCTTCTGGTGAGTACGATGTAAATGAGGTCGCTCCGGATGGCGAAACCGCACTGACTTGCGCTGTTTCTGCGAATGCGCTTCGTATCGTGGAAATGCTGCTGAAACACGGGGTACGCGTCTACTTTTACCACTAGCTTTTTAGGCTGACCCAAATTTCCGCGGCAAAAAGGTTGAGTGCACACCGCTAATGGACGCGGCAAGTGTGGGTTACACCGATATAGTGCGGCTTCTCCTTGAATATGGGGCATGCGTTGGACTGAAGTCGAACACAGGCAACACTGCATTGCACTACGCAGCCACTGCTGGCCATTTGGAGTGCGTGTGTTTGTTACTGCAGTATAACAGCCCGCTGGAAGTTCAAAATGAAACTGGACACACTCCGCTTATGGAGGCAACTAGCAACGGACACATAGATGTGGCTCGTTGCCTGATCAAGAATGGAGCCGACATAAATACTCATTCCACCGAGTTCAAGGAGTCGGCTCTCACACTAGCTAGTTATAAGGTAAGTAATTGTTGCAATCATTCGCCTTCTCAGTAGCTTGGTTTTCCAATTGTTTAATATTTTCTGTTTTGTGTGTTGATTGTTTACGCTGGTGCAGGCGAGCCCCTATAGCGGCTTGTGCCGCACTTTGTGGTTTTTGTTGAATGGCGACTCTGACAATAGTTTAGTGGTCGTCCGCTGATGTTTGAGTTCACTCCCAAACGCTGATACTTATCGGAGTACAAGGCTCCGAGTCCACACTGCTTGTCCTTTAATTCGTCTTCTGGCCTTGCCGAACTTTCATTTCTGTGACGCTTCACGTCTGAGGTTAACGATTCTCCTGTGAAGGTAGATCTCCCAACCCATTTGTCCATTTCGCTTCAGTCATTACGGTATTGATCTGCTTCGTTTACTGACGTCTAAGTGTGGGTCACGAACTGACCGTGCAAATCATTTCGTAAAATAGATAGCACGCAAAACTTTTATTCCGTTTGCTTCCATTTCACCTCAGACACTGTTAGTGCCTTGACGTCTGAGACACCATTGGTCCAACTCCCTAGCATATTGAGACGGGTGAACCCAACTTTAAAACGAGGGTTCTGTTGCTAATGCGCAGCGTACTACCAGAAACCGGTACAAAATCATCTGATGGACCAGTCAACTGTCCTGTGCATTGCACAGTGCATCAAAAACGGTTGCTGTCCGTGGCCAATGTGTAAGACTGTTTAGTGTCAAATTGCTCATCACTTACAGTTACAGTATAGCAGTAATCCCGAGGTCGGTGTAATTGTTTAGCTTCCTGCACCAGCATATCAGGTGCGTCTTACTACGTCTTTCATGGACAGCAAAGGCCTGATCACTCAGATATGTCACATATGAGGCGAAATTTCAGACACCTATGAAGGGCATTGGCCGATTGTCATATGGCCCGTTGATAGCCTGTTTACTAGTTTGCCACGCGTTCACCGTTCGTCTGGTTGCACGACAAGGCTACGACCAATTGAACACTTATCTAGTCATCAATATATGATCTTCACTCAGTTCGCGCAGACGCGTCGATAGTTACAGGCGCATCCTGAAACCGCAGCGTAGACCGACCCCAAGGGCATCGGCACCTGGGGCCTGCAAGTGACTTACAAGTTTCAGCGCTCGGACCGTCAGTTCATAGCCTAAGCACTGATTGTGTCCACATCGGTAGCGCACCGCCTCCGTATTTGCAAATGGTCAGGCGTCTACCATTTTCGACGTATACCGGCCCTATCAAAGCCCATAGAGTGTATGCAGTTTACGTGCCAATTCTGGTGACCGTAAGTCCAACTGCTTCCACCCGGTGATTGCCAATACCTTACCAGCCATCAGCTCTCGTCTTGTGAATAATGTGTTCAGCTGGTCGCTGTTCAAAGGTTCATTTCCGAAGAACTAGAAATGCTCAGTAGTAAAACCGGTTTCGAAAGATGGTGATCCCAGCAAAATGGACAGTTACCAACTGATTCGTCTGACTCCTGTTTTGATTATGAGTTTCAATACCTAACGCCCTCATAATACGGTTTTGTGCTAAATCGTTTACGCATCACCAACCTGCTCTTGACGGGGCATGAGCGATTGCATGTGCTAGGCTCAGTAGAGTCCGTCGGTGTGCTCTATATTGATATCAGTAGTGATCAACAACCTGAGGATATTCGGTGTTGGCGACTTACCGTACCGATGGATCGGCAATGGTTGATACAGTTAGTTGGTCATTCAGTCGACTAGTATTCACCCACTAGTAGTGCATCCTATTCTACGCTACTGGAGCTCACTGTAGTATGCGTCCGGTCGTGGGTTCCGAGGAATTCTGTTTCCGAGGCGTACCTGGGTCGTAATAGACCGAGGGGAGCTGAAAGTCAAAAAGGTACTTCCTAGACGACTGGACAGTTTTATCACAACCACATAGCAAGAGTTGAAGCTTGATAGAAGATGCACTTGACTTACACCTCATGGTAATCTGGACAGCGTTGTCACAGCTGTCAGTAGAGATCAGAGCCTGAGGTGACTGGATGTATGGCGAAAACACACTAAGATGGGTGCTCTACTAACATCAAACACAAAACGGGAAGGTAAAGCGAAGAGGATTCGACACTGTCATTCAAGGCTACGCTCGACGACATCTTACCTGTTGACTTGCTACAGCGATACTCTGACGCGCTCCAGCCACTTTCCATGTTGCATGCCATCGAAGTACCTCAGCTTCTCCGGTCGCTCTATACCTTAATTTCGGGCGACCACGAGGTTTAGCAATTAATGTTTCCCATTACAGCGACTTAATTCAGTGCTATCTCAATCGTCTTTATGCAGTTTGCAGAGGTCATTCTGTCGGTTGACCCTGTCAACATATTTCTAAGCTTTGAGAACGGTGATAAACAATTTTCCCACTGATCAGCCAACTACTTTGTCCCACACCTTCCGTGATGAACCTAGGCGTGCACTCTCACTGCAGCTTAAAGTCCCATGGAATAAGCTACACAAAATGGACTGCGCATCTTTTATGTGCTCAAACCTAACTCCCCACACTTGGTTTGTTGCACCAATCTCTTTTTCCATTACATGACCTAAGCTAGAATTAAGCTCACTCGTCAATTGTTCGCTCACCCATGGCGAGGAACAGCAAATTGATCAGATCTAGCATGCATCTACCGGGCTCATACACAGTTTACAGAGTATGCCGTACGAAGATCAATGCAAGGGACCAGGGCTAAATACCCTGTCATATCGTCGGTTCCGAGCTGACATCATGATGGCCCACGGGATATTGCAACCGTAACTTTCCGTTACTAAGGCTGCAGACCCACGTACGTGCACCACAGCATTCGCGGACACCGAAGCAAGCCTGTAGTATCGGATCTGAAGCGAATAGCTTGTCTCCCATGCTTCGAGTCAAAATGTCAAGTAAAATCGCTGGGAATCAAAAACTTGCAGACGCCTTCTTTACGGATTTTAATTTTAGAGGACGTTTCGCTGAATGGGACATTGTACTTGTGTAACGTTTTGTGCGTATGGGAGTTGGTACGATTGTTACGTGTGAGCACTGAATCAGATTTCCTTTCCTTATTACACCATTCAGTATTCTTAGGATGAATGACCGGGGGACTGTTTTTTTGAAGCTCCATTGCACAATAGTTCGCTTTTTCACTGATGCCCTTTTGCGAATCACAGCTTAACCGGTCGGAAACCATCTCTGATCTTATACTTTGTGCTAGCCTAACTCGGGTTCCGTTTCGCGTTTTCCTCGATGTTCGCATTTGCTAATTTGGTTGTAAGCCGTCTTTAGTTCTCCCGACGCGATCTAGAACCCTATGCCTGATCATGCCTGCCCTATGTTGCCTTCTTAACTGCCCGCAAAGAGTACTATCGTCGTAATATATTTCATGCTGCCCGAGTCAGCTTGCGGTTAATGACCTTGCTCTTCGCGTCTCAATTAAAGTATTTACTAGATGTAGTCGCACTCAGCTGGGGTTCCACCATCAATTCATGCCAACGGATCCCGACGAACAGTCCCTTGTGATTTCCGATCTTCAAGCTGTCTTACTTATTAGATTGTGTTTGCTGCTTTGGTCTACCTTGAAATCCACCGCACCTCAGAATCCATCAGTAACAGCTTTGATCGACAATTTCAATTTCAGCCCAGCAGTTGGATTTACGGCTAATCTCTCTGATGATGTCTCGGTTCTGAACACATCCTATGGATGTACTCCATGCTAACTTCTTCATCCGTGCATTGATGGTACTTTTTATCACAACCATACAACTTTTCGTATTGCGTTACCATAATCCAACCGAACAGGCATCGATTTCGATCCTAATTGCACCGTCATCAACCGTCAGTCTGGACTTGTCTGTCCATCTGGAGTGCTCACTTTTTTAACGGTGTTCTGGGGCAATCGAGTGCTGATTTGCGCTTACTTAATCGTCGCCTAAACCCGTATTGCGGAGTGGAATTTCAGCTGCTAATGGCCGATGAGATCGCGAAACGAAATGCCTATTGGAACTGCTATCAGTATGTTTTCGCGTGGCATCTTAATGCAATTGCTACCCAGTTTAAGACGAATAAGCGATGGACAGCTTTCCGCGCTACCGATCACCCTACTGAGACCACAGATGATGCTTTAAATTATCCGCAACGCTGTAGGAACACTTGCTACTTGGGCGCTATGACGCACTATATAAGCTGCTATTCGGAAATTTTGAGCATTGCTCTTATTCATGTGAATAACTAGTCTAGGAACGGCTCTTATTACTATACTTAATTCCTTGGTTGTTGAATGATTCCATTCTTTATTCAACCGACTTGAGCGTGGAGAAAGCAACCCGCCTTCCTCACTCAGAATAGTTCGACGTCCACATCGCGCACCAGGGTGTCCTTTAAATAAAACCAGACATCTAGCTCTGACAACCTTCCTCTGTCAATCCAAAAACGAACTGGATCACCAACTGTTGGTCTGTTGCTTCCTTTCGACGGCATTTGGCTTTATAGACAAGTGCTTGTGACCCGGCCCGTAGCCCAAAGGTAACGTGCTCGTCTTTTAATCTGAAGCAGCGGGTTCCAGCCTGCGTAGGGACAGGGCGACCCTTGCAATATCCTTAGCCCACGTACGACCGGTGGTGGTTGCGGCGCAGTGAAGCTTCGGTACCACGTACCGGTGCACCGCAGATGCCTTACTTGTGCCCCGACCACCAACAGTCGCCTTTCCCCTTGACAAGAGTCAGGTAATGACATAAGGGTCATTGTGGTATCTACCTGGTCACCATTACTTGCACAATGTTGCAGCGACTCGTTGGTTCTACTATAATCGTTCAGTTCAGTTGACCAGAGCACCGAAGTGCGGTGGATCCAGTTGCCACGACTCATCCTAAGAGTAACGATGAATAACAACGGCAAGAGAGGGTGGTTACAGGCAAACGGCATGTACAAAAAATCGAAGCAATGAGGAATTGCGTTAAACTAATTAGAACGGCACGAAAATTAACAACCAGATGCGAGAAAA